ATGGGATGCTGCGACCGCGAGATGCTGGGACCGCGGGATGCTGCGACCGCGAGATGCTGGGACCGCGGGATGCTGCGACCGTGGGATGCGGGGACGTACAGCATCAGCGACTACTGCGCTAATCAGCCGATGAGATGGGCAATGCCGTGCCGGTGCGTCCGTACACATGTGTCTGATCAGGGATCCACGGCCGTGGGCGAGGCCCGCAGGATGCTGTATGTATCATCCAAGCCATATGTGATGCTCTTCTTCTCTCTCTCTTCCTCCCTCACCCCCTTCCCCTCCCCACGAAGCACATTAGGAAGATCGGAAATATGAGAGCGGCCGCCTAATGTGGATTCATCAACGGAACGAACGACACATGCAAAATCGCGCCGCATTCATCGTTGTCTCGCCTCGCGTGTTTGTTTCATTTAGACAAAAAACGATGGAGCACGGAGCACTTTTTGGGATCTGAAACGAAACAAGTGCGGGACCGGGAAGGAATATCGCGATTAAGAAAAATCGCGCAAGCGATGCCAACCACAGACAGCCCTAGCTCTATTGCAGAGCAATTCAGTGCTACCAGAGACTTGTGGTAGAGGTACCGGTAGTAGACACAGCTCTTTACTGCTGACATAAGACTTGCGGCAAGGGCAGAAGCAGAAGCAGGGGCAAAGGTTGTAGGCTCCGGCCTTGCCTGCTACCACAGCCTTGTGACAGAGCTGGAACCAGACGTAGAAGAGGCAGAAAGGCTGCCTTTTACTGCTGCCATAGATTTGTGGCACAGACAGAAATAAGGGTAGAGCTGAGGCCGAGGTAGAAGGAGTGTCTTGTCACAACTACAAACGTGTCAAAGATGGGGTCATGATCCAGTCAATTCGCAATCATCGCAACATCCCCCCCCCACCACTATGCTTCCAATAAAAATCGAGAAAAAATTAGTCATATAACGATGCGAACATAACGTCGTCACTAATCGACCTTCATAATTATAATTTTAATTATCGATTACGACAGAGAACGACGTTCGGTCGGCCGATCAAATGTGCGTCTGCTCGATCAGCACCGGTTGCCGTGGTTACTCGCCGATGCATCTCGTGATTTAGCTTTCTTTTCGCGAGCACTTACGCCACCTGGGTTTATTGTCGTGCGCTGCGTCACTCGCGTGCGAGAGAGAGAATGTGCCGACTATATATCTAGCATTTAACGATGTCATAACCCACTCTCCGCGCTGATAATCGATCTTCTCAGGCTATAAAGGAAATCGGTTCTGTCATAAAAAACGCGTTGGCCAGCAAAGCTCGAGTTTACAATAATTAGAATGGGATATGGGTAATAAGTCTTTGTCCTAAAGCAGCATGGAAACAGCCGCAAAGGTGTCATATAACAGTAATATCATTCTCATTTGTTAATCATAACAGTCAGACTGGTTCATGGATTGTATATACACACAAGTACAGTACTTAATAACAAAGTGCATGAATGTTTGCACTGGAACACACACATTCAGGAGCATATATAACCCACATGCTTTCAATTAGAGACTATGTTACTGTTATTATGCATATCGTTATTAGAATTATAATATCTATCATCGTGTTAATTATACGACTAACCGCTCATTAAGCGGAAAAACATCGCTATAGCGAATTTGAGTGACGACAGAGGTAGTGGTAATCCAGTACCTTTAGGGATGAAATACCCCATGTTGCAATATAGGGGCACAGGCACTTGAAGCGTTTCAATAAATAGGTTGGATGGGGTGTGTATACCTTGTGGATCGTTTGCCAGGCACTCCCGTGCCTCTGCCTGTATAACTTTGCCTGAGATCCCATCCAGCAACACAAGGCTGGGTATTCCCTGCACACGAAACTTCTTCGACAACTTGGCCTGGAACAAAAACCAAAGCAAAAGCAGTTACAATCACTATTATTTAAATCACTGATTCACCAAAGGTACAACCAGATAGAACTCGGTTCAACTCCCAAACGCAGGGAGCAGGGAGCATGGTTCGACTCCAAAATAGACAGTGAAGGGATTGTTTTTTCATTTTTCGGTTAAAATCCAAATGACAAAGAACAGGGATTCTTGCTTAATTGCTTGGCGCTGGGAGTAGCCATTGTGACTCATTTCACCAAAATACACAACAAGTGTAGGTTCCATTCCCCCAAAGCAGGAAGCTTGTGGCTCAAACCTCTAAGGCTGGAAGCAGGGATTGCGGTTCAAGTCCAAATGATACAGAACGGTGCAGATGTGGTTCAAGTTTCAAAGCCAGAGAGCATGGACCGTTAGTTAAATGACTTGCAAATCAATGTCACTCATGAGTGCTCTCAAATAATCGATATAAAAAATAAACGCAGACACTAAACATTACATCAGCGCACGTCCGCAACACATGTATCCGGTTCCGATACTTCGATCTACTCTCTCGCACGCATGTTTGCTCTGCTCTCTCCCACTCACTGCATCTCTCTCTTTTGCTCCCTCTCTCTCTTTCTTTTGCTCGCTCACTCTCACTGTTTTTAATTCTCTCTTTCTCCCTTCCCCTCTCTTTCTCTCTCGCTCTCTCTTTCTCGCGCTCTTTCTCTCCATCTCTTTCTCTCCCGCTCTCTCCCCCTCTTTCTCCCCGTCTCTCTCCCCTCTCTCTCCCTCTCCTCTCTCCTTCTTCCCCTCTCTCTCCCTTCCTTTCACACACTGCGTGAATCATCGGCGACGCGCTCGTCTAGTCGCGCCTTCATCATATCCTGATATGACACAGCGAGCGATGAGCACGGCCAGACAACGCTGCACGCACGCACGCACGCACGCACGCACGCACGCACGCTAGCACGCAGAAGGCGCGTGCGCACATGTGGTCGTGCGCCCGTATATACATTTCACATCAAGTGACATACGTGAGGCCGGTATATACGGAGAGGAAGGGAGGGGGAGGAAGGGATGGGAGGGAGTGTGTAGTCGAGCGAGGCTCTACACACAGCGTTAGCAGTAGTATATTATAGGCCTCGCCAGCATCTTTAGCGCACATGTGAGCGCGCGGCCCGCAATATACACACGCGCATTGTACGAGACTTGCATCAGACTCTATCAACACACATCGCATGTCAACCAGCCGCCAGCGATCGAACGCTAAGCTACGTCAACACTGTCGCGTACCTCCCTGCTAACACCATCACCACCTCCCTGCTAACACCATCAACGCCGTATCTCCTCTCTCTCTAACACCGCACGCTGCCACGCGTATAATGTATATATACCCACTAATACTACAAGCACTCCCGTGCTGATACTCTCTATTTTTCTTCGTCTCCCTCTCGCCTGCTCTCGTTCTATGCCTCTGTCTGGTAGCCTCTCGCCTGTGTGTCTCTCTCTCTCTCTCTCTCTCTCTCTCTCTCTCTCTCTCTCTCTCTCTCTCTGCTCTCTTCTCTCTTTCTCTTTCTATCCTCTCCCTAACCCCTTCTCCGGCGTTTCTCGCCCTCCCCCCCCCTCTCTCTCTCTCTCTCTCTTTCGCTTTCTCTCCTCTCCTCTCTCCTCTCTCCTCTCTCTCTATTCTCTCATCACAAAAAATCTCTCGATCCTTCCATACTGCTATCCTGCTCCTCACTCTCTTCTCTCTCCCCTCTCTCTCTCTCTCTCTCTCTCTCTCTCTCTCTCTCTCTCTCTCTCTCTTTCTCTCCATCACTCTCTCGATCCTTCCATCTGTATCCTACCTCCACACCCTCTCCTTCTCTCTCCTCTCTCTCCACCTGGCCGCACTCCCCCTTCCCACCGGGTCTCTCTGCGCTACTCGCAGCACGTACGTAACTCTACGCCACCGCCACCGCGCTCGTAAAGACGTATTTACTTACGTCCCGCACATCGCCTCCCATCTCACCCCCACCCTTCCCGCTCACACCCGTCCTCCCCCCGGGATAAATAAATCATGCACCAGAAGCGCACCGACCGTGAGGGGAAGGGGAAGGGGAAGGGAAAGGAGGGGGAAGAGAGGGGGAGGAGTGTCGCGGCGTGGGGTGTATCAGTGGCAGTGCGGGACAATTTAATCATCGATCATCCGTCCGTGGAGACGGGGCACTAATCGCGACAGTCACATTGTTGTCTCCTGTCAGAGTGAAGCGCCTAGATTAAAATTTCATATCTGATCTGTGATCTGCCTCCTCCTCAGGCATCCTCAACTCTGTATCTTCCCATTGTAGTCGCCCTCAGTACCGCCTCAGCATCTCCCTCTGCTATCCTCACTCTTTATCTCACTCTGCATCCTCCCTCATCTCCTCAGCGTCCTCCCTCATCATCCTCACTTGCATCCTCTCAGCATCCTCATCTGCCATTCTCCCTCTGCATCCCAGCTCTCCTCGCTCAAGCCCGTTATCTCGTCACGGCGACGAAGAAGACGGGGCACCGCGCGCAGCTACGGAGGACCATGCAAGACCGCCGCCGCCGCGCCGCCAGAGAGCTTCTATTGTATCCAGACATGCGCGACGGCGATCTGCAGCATTCCCTCGCATCCTCATCCCGACTTAGCGGCTGCTGGAATGTACGCTACACTGGAAGCTCTCGCCGCTTTTTCACGCAGCAAATCAACCTCACGAGCCGCGGTCCGTGCGGGCCGACGTGTGGTTGTGGGTGGGGGGCGGGGTATACGACGCGTGATCCGAAGATGAGAGAGGGCTATCGCAGTTGAAGTAAGGATTAGGAGTGGGGTGCGAGCTGCGGGGCGTGGTTAGATACAAATAATTGTAACAAACAGGTGAGCTAGCAGTGAATGAATATAGGCTCGCGTTGAACGCCCTTACCCTGTGATTTGAAGTATACATTATTGTATTCTTAGCGGGGTCCCACAAGATGTCCGGCTGGGTCGGTCCATAGATCGTGGTAAGGGATTGGGGTGAGATGTCAGAGGTTAGTTCGGGTGTAATAGTGTCGCCTGAGGTAAGCAGGTCCCGATCAGCGGTGTGACTAACGCCATATACCACATTTCTCTATAGTCTTTTGATGTATCTTTCTTATTGATCTATTTTA